TCTAGTTCAATTTCCCCGCCCACCCACCCTCTTGTGTGTATTTCTTTGTTGGACGAGAACCATGTATGTTTCCCAGATGAAATGAAGCACGCTGCCTTTACAAGAGGACCTAAGCAAACTTTCACAATCCTTTTTTCTTCCTCCCTCTGTTCTTCCTCCCTCTGTTCTTACTCCCTCTGTTCTTCCTCCCTCTGTTCTTCCTCCCTCTGTTCTCACTCCCTCTGTTCTTACTCCCTCTGGTCTTACTCCCTCTTTTCTTACTCCCTCTTTTCTTACTCCCTCTGTTCTTCCTCCCTCTGTTCTTCCTCCCTCTGTTCTTCCTCCTTCTGTTCTTACTCCCTCTGTTCTTCCTCCCTCTATTCTTCCTCCTTTTGTTCTTCCTCCCTCTGTTCTTCCTCCCTGTGTTCTTACTCCCCCTGTTCTTACTCCCTCTGTTCTCACTCCCTTTGTTCTTACTCCCTCTGTTCTTACTCCCTCTGTTCTTCCTCCCTCTGTTCTTCCTCCCTCTGTTCTTCCTCCCTCTGTTCTTCCTCCCTCTGTTCTTCCTCCCTCTGTTCTTCCTCCCTCTGTTCTTCCTCCCTCTGTTTTTACTCCCTCTGTTCTTCCTCCCTCTGTTCTTCCTCCCTCTGTTCTTCCTCCCCCTGTTCTTACTCCCCCTGTTCTTACTCCCCCTGTTCTTACTCCCCCTGTTCTCTCTCCCTCAGTTCTTACTCCCTCTGTTCTTACTCCCTCTATCATTACTGCCTCTGTTCTTACTCCCTCTGTTCTTCCTCCCTCTGTTCTTCCTCCCTCTGTTCTTCCTCGCTCAATGTGTTTCTCCTCCCTCTGTTCTTCCTCCCTCTGTTTTTCCTCCCTCTGTTTTTCCTCCTTCTGTTCTTACTCCCTCTGTTCTTACTGGCGCTGTGCGAGCTGTCGCCTTGCGCGCTGGCGCCTTGCGTGCCAGCCCGTTTTGCGCTGGCGTCGTGCGCGCTTTGGCGCCTTTCGTGCTGGCGCCTTTGTCGTCCCCTCCGTTCCCCCCCCTTTGTGGTCCCCCATCCGTCCCTCCCCCTTTGTCGCCCTCCCCCCCCCCTTTCCCCCCCCTTTGTTGTCCCCCCTCCCTTCCTCCCCCTTTGCCATCCCCCCTCCGTCCCTCCCCTTTGTCGTCCCCCCTCCGTTCCCCCCCCCTTTGTTGTCCCCCCTCGTTCCTCCCCCTTTGCCGTCCCCTCCCTCCGCCTTTAAACATGATCAAAACGCGATTGCGATTTAAATCGCATCGCATGCAAGTGCAATGTTTAAAAAAGCGGTGCGATTTTAAATCGCATCGCGCGATTTATTCTTAAAAAAAAAAAATCGCACATCGCATTGTACCTGCGATGTATTTAAAAATCGCATGCGATATTTAATTGAATCGCGCGATGCGATTTAAAATCGCATCGCGTTTTAAAACAGAATTAAAAAACACCAAAAAAAAAAAAACATGGCTGCGGGGAAATTGACTCACGGGCAGTCGTAAGCTAGAGTGCAAATAACTAGTGTGGTTTCGTAGTGGGTTTCAGAGTGGGTTTCAGTGCAATATCGCGCGCGATTTTTTTTTAATCGCATTTAAATCGCGTTTTTTACGCGATTAAAATGCGATTAAAATTAAATCGCGCGATATTAATTCATCGCATCGCGCGATGATTTAAAAAAAAAAAAACATCGCAATCGCAAAAACGCGATTAAGTGCAATGCGATGCGATTTTTTTTGCACATGTCTATCCGTCCCTCCCCCTTTGTCGTCCCCCCTCCGTTCCTCCCCCTTACTCGTCCCCCCTCCGTTCGTCCCCCTTTGCCGTCCCCCGTCCGTTCCTCCCCCCTCCGTCCCCCCCCCTTTTGCCGCCCCCCTTCCCTTCCTTCCCCTTCGCCGTCCCTCCTCTGTTCTTCCTCCTTTGTCGTCCCCATCCGTCCCTCCCCTTTGCCGTCCCCCCTGCGTTCCCCCCCCTTTGTCGTCCCCCCTCCGTTCCTCCCCTGTCGTCCCCTTTCCTTCCCTCCCCCTTTGTCGTCCCCCTCCGTTCCTCCCCCTTTGCCATCCTCCCTCCGCCCCCCCCCCCTTTTTCGTCCCCCGTCCGTTCCCCCCCCTTTGCTGTCCCCCCTCCCTTCCTCCCCGTTTGCCATCTCCCCTCCGTTCCTCCCGTTTTGTCGTCCCCCCTCCGTCCCTCCCCCTTTGTCATCCCCCCTCTGTTCCTCCCCTTTGTCGTCCCCCCTCCGTTCCTCAAACTTTGCCGTCCCCCCTCCCTTCTTCCTCCATTTGTCTTTCCACCTCCGTTCTTCCTCTCATTGTCTCCCTCATTCTTGTTTTCCCCCCTCTGTTTTTCCCCCCTCTGTCTTCCCCCCTCCATTCCCCCCTCCGTCCTTCCATCCTCCATTCTCCCGCCCTCTGCTCTCCCCCCCTCTGCCGTTCCCTTTCCATTCTTCCTCACCAACGCTCTCCCACCCCCCCCCCCTTTCCTTTACCCCTTGCGTTCTTCTTACCTCATCCCCCCTCTGCTTTATTGCCTTTACAGTCTGTATTCTTACAAGCCCAAGCGCAGCCCATTCTCAGGTATACATTACTCTCCCTCTCGCTGTTTTTTTGTTCTTCCTCGATCCATCCTTCCCCTGTCTGTTTGCCTCTGTTCTTCCCCTCCATTCTTTCCCGCTCCTGTCTTCTCGCCTCCATTCCCCCCTCAGCTCTTTTTAACCATTCTTCCTCACGTTCTTCCACCCTATGGTCTCCCCTCTCCATTCTTAATTCGCCTATTCATTCCTCCCTCTTTGTGACCCTCTCCCTCCCTGTGCTGCTCTCCCTTGCTCCTTCTTCTCCTTTCTGTATTTGATTTTCCCCTACACTTGTTTCTACCCTGCGTTTGCTTCTCATTTCAGTGGTTGCTTCTCTCTTGCACTTGCTGCTCCCTTCTCCTTTTCCGTCTTTCTTGCCTTCGTCTCCGCTGTACTGTTTTTTCCCTCGCATCCCCACCTAATCGCTTTAGTTTCTCTCAGGCTGCTACTGTCTCAAGCTCTTCCCTCTTATTTTCTCCTCTTGTTATCCTCTCCAGCCATGTTATCACGTTCAAGTTTGTCACACTCCAAGAACATTCCAACTCGTCGAAATTCAAGTCATCACGTTCCAGGACTTCTCATTCCAAATCCAGTCAAAGCATTTATTCATGGATATTTGAAGTTGACTTGGTAATGTTTTCGTGCTACCCATTATATCTTCGTGTTTGACTTGCGTGCATTTGCATTGTTGTTTTGTGATTTTTTATGCCGCGTTGCTTGTGTATGTGCGTTTGCATGGTACCATTGTTGACAACGTGTGTACCAGTTTGTTGGCTTGTGTTTTGCACGGTGTTGCGTTGCGTTGTGCTTGCAGAGGAAGGATGCTGACTATGCCTAGTGCATCACACAATTTGCGATTGTCGTTGCCAGTTTGGGGAATTGCTTCTCATTCCGTGCATGTCAATCTCTATTGTAGCACGGAAGCATTGATGCATTTCTTCCTTTGCAGTTACTATTGCACTGTTTTTGTTTGTTAGCAAGTGTTGTACATCGTTGTGTATTGTGTGTGCGTGCAGGGAAACGATGCTGATTGCGCCGAGTGCATCATACAATGTGTGATTGTCGTTGCCCAATTGGGAGTTTTTTCACATAACGGGCATGTCAATCTCTAATGTGGCACGAACGCATTGATGCTTTCCTTTACTGCATTCGCGATCTTTTTGTTGTATTGTATTGTTGTCGTGTCGAGCTAAGCCGTTACATGTGCGTGTGGGTAAGATGCGTTCTGTGTACATGCTTTGAAAATGGTGGTGGTGATGTTGTGCTTCAATCATTCTCCGCCGTAATTGTCGACGGCGAATGATTCGAGCCTCTCTCATCAGTCATAGAAAGCTTAGAAAATCGTTACAAAACTTTATGTTGCTCAATTATTATGTCGCCTCCATTATCGACCACATAATAATTGCGAAAACACAGATTTTTTTATGCAAGCTAGAAAGGTCTTTTGAGACGCTAAGTTTCTGAGTTACAGTAAAAGGAATCAACAAACAAATGGATACGTAGAGATTCTCTATCGGAGAACGTAAACATTCAGATTATAGACAACCAATTTTTCATGGAAAAAAAAAACCAGTGTTTTTAGAGTGAGCGACGCATTAAATCTGGAAAAAAAATATGTAGTGCGGGCTATTAGGCCGACTAAACAAAGTCGTCCGAAATCGGTCCACCGACCGATTTTAAAAGGTTGCTACGCAACTCAAAAAAGGACATTCGTTTCCTAGACGACCGATGTTTACAATATGTGAGATCCCGCATTTTGGTAGTGTCGTCGAGAGCGAGGATCCCGAAACCCCTTGGGAACGAAAACACCCCCCAGATCAAGAACAAATATTTTGATTTCGGGGGTTTTAGATCCTTGTTTTAAGTTTTGGATCCAAACCTTCCTGTGGCTCGTGCCTTCATGAACACGGAGCTGACCCAGAAACGGTCAGGGTGCTGAAAAAACTTATGCTGCCGTCCATTTTCACCCTGAAAATTACCGCGGCCCAGGTGTATTGCACATTGTCAGACATCGAACCTCACTTCAGTGCGGTTGCACTAGGTTTTATGCGTTATAAGAAGATTTATTGAATACCGACTAAGGTTCGATATGGTTTAGAGGGTAGCTGAAAGCGCGCCCATGAAGGATCTTATTGCACGAACGACGTGGAGATTGGCAGCAAGCGCTTATGCCACCCCGTGCCATGTGGCATGTGTCGAGTCCGATCGGCCAAACCACTCTTCCACGCCTCCACTGATTCGTTGCAGGAGTGTAACGGATCGCCAGTTGCCCGCCCGTCTCATTCGCCCGCACCAGTCGTCACCTTGTTCCGAGCGCTGCTCCCCCGAAGCTGCCACCAAGTCAAGTCCTAAGAACTGTAAAGAATGACCCAAAACGCCCCACTGTTTTGTGCTGTAGCGTTTGATTTGGGGGCAGAGGGAATGGTGAACCCAACCCAATCGAACCACCTCGCCAGCAGGAGTGTAGCGATAGCGAGCCCCTGATGACACGAACGGTCACCTTTGCTGCACGACAATGCACCAGATGGCGCCAGCCCGCAGAAACAAACAGAAGGCCCCACAACACCACCAGCTTGACAAGGCAGTGCGCTGATGGCGTCCCTCGTCGTTTGTGTGTGACTGCTGCAGAAACTGCTTTGCTTTCCTCTTTGTGACCCCACCGTAGTGAGAGGAGCACATGGCGGTTTTGATGCCTTGTTGGACGGTGGCGAGGGAAGAAGAACAGCCAATGCTGGATTTGGTCTGTGTATGGCGCAGCAATGTCCGCTGCAGATCGTCCTCGTTAGCTCTAGCTGCCTCCTACTAATTGGTCTCTGGCTGCGTCTTACGCACAAAACTCACCCGTCCGCCAGCAAGCAAGCAATGCAAGCCCAGCCCAGCGCGTCTCATTCACATCGCTTCCCGCCAAAGCGACTCCTTGCTCCGACCATGGCCAAGCTTCACAGCATCTGCGCGCCACTCGTCGACACCAAGTGGGTGTTGGTGTGCGTGCGTCTGCGCCTCTTCACGCTCTTCGAGCTGCTGCTCGTCTCCTCGCTGCTCTGCCTCCTCGTCTTCGCCCGCTTCCCCCTGCCCTGCACCACCAAGCCGGGCCCCCCCACGGATAACACGGCGGCCGCCCGTCCCAGCGCGCCACAGCCCGAGCCACCGCTCAACCAGACCGCGTCTCCCACGCGCAGCGCGCCCCAGCGGGAGCAGCTGGACGATCCGTCGCAGCACCTTCGCCGCCTCGTGTCGCTCGACTTCTTCCGCCCGCGCCTCACCCCGTGGGCCCGCAGCACCACGGGCGGCCAAGCTACGCGGAGAAAGCAGCCCCCGCCGTCGGGCATCTGCGTCGCGATACCGTCGGCACCGCGGTTCGACCCGGACGGCGAGGAGCGCTCGTGGCAGCGCGTGGAGAAGCTGCTGCTGGCGCTGGACGAACGGCGCGCGCGCGAGAGCGACGGGCTGCTGGAGCGCGCGATGCGCGTCGTGGTGTATAGCTCGGGCTGCCGCGTCGACGACCCCGCTAGACACGCCGGTGCGGGGAAAACCGGCGGACCCGCCGCGTTGATGCGCGCGGCGTCGTCGCTCGCGCGCGCGGCGAACGTGAGCGAGGGGTACGCGCGGCCGCTGGTGGGTGCGCTGGCGCAGGACGCGGCGAACGTGAACCCGCTGGTCGACGCGCACACCGCGGCCATCCAGGCGGTGGCGGACCGCATGGATCTCCCCGTCGACGTGCTCTCCGCGCACCCCGACGGCTGCGCGCTGCTGGGCGACGCGGGCCGCCTCTTGCGCACTGCGCCACGTCAGCACGTGGAGCGCGACGGGTGGCAGCGTTGGCGATGGCACACGAAGCTGTCGATGGACTTCGCATACGCTGTGCGACAGTGCCTGGCGACGCGGCCGCGCCACGTGCTGCTGCTGCAGGACGACGCGTTCCCCGCGCGCCTGTGGGACGTGGGCATCGAGCGCTTCATGGCGCGCGACCTGCGCGGCAAGGCGGAGTGGGACGTGCTGGCGCTGTACCACCCGCGCTCGTACCGCTGGAACCTGCAGCACACGCAGGAGTACGACATCCCCTGCTGTGCGCAGTCCCTGCTCTTCTCCGCCCGCTCCGCCGCGGAGGTGGTGGCGCACGTGGAGCGCGGAGTGGCGCGCGCGCCCATGGACCTGCTGCTGCACGAGTTCATGGGCACCGCGGGGGAGGGCGGGCGGCAGCGGCGCGGGTACGTGCACGTGCCGTCGCTGTTCCAGCACACGGGGCGCGTGCGGTCCACGGGGCAGGGCCGCGAGAAGGCGTCGTTCCACGAGGACGTGCAGTGGCCCGACGACCAAGTCGACGCGCCGTACCTCGCGGAGGAGAAGCTCGCGCTGCTGCGCGGCAAGGCGGGCGGGCGGCACGCGGAGGGCGCGTATGGGCAGGTGGAGCCCGACGGGTGGCACGAGTTCCTGGAGAAGCAGCGGCGCGAGATGGCGGCGGGCGCGGGAGGGGGAGAGGCGCCGCCTGTAGAGCGGGCGAGAGGGGGAGGAGATGGCGGTGATGCGGGGAAAGGCGAGGAGCAGCAGCGTGGGGGAAAGGCGCGGAGAGGGGAGGAGCAAGGCGGAGAGGGCGGGGGCGAACGGGCAGGCGAGGCAGGGAGGAGTCAGCAGCAGATGGTGGCGGAAGGATGGGAGGCGCAGGCGGAGAGGGTGGGGGAGGCGAGCGCGGAGGGGAGCGCGCAGGTGCTGCGACCGGGGCTGCGGCCGGGATTGAGCAAGGAGGCGTTTAGGCGGCACTTCCTGATGAAAGACCTCATGACGGAGCTGGGCGGAAAGACCTCGTAACGGAGCTAGGCGCAAGGGATGGCGCAGGGGATGGCGGAGGGGATGCGCACTGCGCCGCGCTGAGGAAATGACCCCCGCTGACCTGGCAGGCGCGGCTGGGAAGGAAGGCCGTCTGGGCTGCATGTAATATAGACACTA